TTTTTTTTTTTTTTTTTTTTTTTTTCTTGTCCGAAGATAATGGAATATGTCTGCGTATAGAGCTTGGCGCGATCGAGTGGTCTCACGCGTTAAATAATGCACCACGCAGACGGATATATCCGGTTCCGAACTACTCCGGTTACGCCGCCAAGTACGGAAGAAAGTTCCCGCCAACTTATTTTTGGCAAATTTCATTATCGCACGAACGAGCGACTCTGAAATACTTGAGAGTGAAGGGACGAAAATGACGAGCAAAGGGAGGAAGGACCGTTCGTTGAATTATCGCTTCTACAGAGACCTACCAGTGATTCTCTTTGCTCGTGAATCAACTGCATAACCGCTCACCCACGAAGATTATACTCTCTAATCGTTTTAGTGGCGCAGCTTCGCTAATGTCGAGAAATCCAAGAAGTGTTTCCGAAACATCAGCGACGCACTCTGCCAGATCGTGATTCTACGTGCAAAAATTCATCCAACACTTTTTCTTTTCTTAATGAACATTTCTGCATCCTCTGATAATCACTATGACAGAATTATCGAATTTCCGACGAAACTGACGATTCTTATGGATTTTGAATTTGTTCGATAAAATTCACCGTTGCTCGAAAGTATGTAGACATTCCTTTCGTTCGTTGTATTTAAAAATTAAAAGGAGATTAACAAAAATTCGGATGAATTTCTGGTATTCTAACTTGTACTGCACCAGAGAGCGTACATTGCCAATAATTCGCGTTTGTTGCCAATATTATCTCATTCATAATAACGTTACGTTCCCTTCTCATCTGCATACTTATCGTGTATTTGTACGAGCCCGCTTTTGCGAATTGCGGTACGCCTACTTTCAATAAATTCTATAAATCTCTCCAAAACATGCTTCCATGTTTAACAACAGACAAAGCAAAATTGCAAAATTATCGCGTAATTATGTGATACTAGACGATTGAACACCTATTTAGATAAGAAATTTGAACAATTCATTCGTTCAATTAAATACTGTTGAAGTCGTAAATTAAATGCTATTGGAATCGTAGATTTTCGTGAGAAATATTCGCATACTTTTGTTACGCACGATTATAATTATATTAGAGGTGCCCACAAGTAATGTCGTTTTTTGATATTATAGAAAATTTCATTCTATTTAAGAGTTAATACAGTTTTAATCTATAATATAATTTAACAATAAATCAATGTCAATGTATTGAACTAGAATATAGATTATGTTAAATTATTGTCGCTAAATGGCAATGTTTATTAAATTTAAAGAGAACATTACTTATGGGTACCTCCAATATTATATAATAACGACATTTCGCGCGCATTAACCTAATGATTGCTGCAATTTACTCGGTACAAAGCAACTCGTCAGGTTTGGAAAAACTGAACAAAGTCACAGACTCGAGCCTGCTCGTCCAGGAATCTTCTGTTAAACCTTGGTTAAACCGTAAAAACTCTGGATTCTCGAGAGGACACTCTTTTACAGGTGAATCAAAGCAGAACGAGCCTTTGATATCCCTCTATGAAACTGAAGACCGTTGCTTCTACTCTTCGAAACAATGTACATTCCTTCTTTGAAATCGAAACAAAGTCTTGATCATCTTAGGTTATTTCCACTTCAATGCTAATACGTCATAC